TGTGGATTGCCTGAGCCCGCAGGTTCGAGACCCGCCTGGGCAGGCAAGACCTCATCTCTACAATAAATCAAAAAATCAGCCGAGCGTGGTAGCGCGCGCCTGTAATTCCAGCTACTCGGAAGGCTGAGGCAGAAGGATCGCCGGAGCCCAGCAGGTCGAGGCTGCGGTGGCCGGGAGCGGCCACTGCACTCCAGTCTGGGCGTCCAAGTGAGACTCCAACTCAGAAACAAAAAACAACAAACAACAAACAAAAAACTTCCCTCTGAGCCATGGAGAAGTGGAGAGAAAACAGGGGAAAGACGCATGGCTCGACAAGACGAACGGAGCTGCTGACCACGGACAGGCCCCGTCTGGCTCCAGTGCCCACGGCTGCCCCGGCTTCCCACCCTGCCCCAGGTTCTGAGCTCCACCTGGCCCAAGGTGGGAAACCTAAAGGGCCAGGCTCCCCTCTGGTCTCCACTGGGACCCTGGGGCCTTGCGCTTGGGTTCCTGGCTTCCAGACAAGGCCTTGGCACTCCCAGTTCAGGCCTGAGTCCGGGCACGTTGCTGGTCCTGTTCTACTCCTCAGCCCCTCCCACCCACACTCTGCCACTGGAGAGTTCTTCGATGTACTCTGCCATGGGCGCCCAGTTCTCCAGCCCCTCAACACGGAGTTCCTTCTGCTTGGTTCTCTGCCCAGCACAAACCCAGCTGAAATGTCCCTTCCTCCAGAAAGCCTTCCCCAGGTCAGGGAAAGGGCGTAAGGCCACCTCTTTGCTTCCACAGCCTGAAGAGCTTGCCCTAACCCTCAGCACAACTCCTGATTCCTGGGCCTCCCAGCCTTGGCCCCAAAAGACGTTGGGAGCCTGAGCTTGGCAGTCTAGGTGTCCTCACCCCTGACCCAAGGGGCAGACCTTGGAGAGAGGGGTGAGGTCGGAGAAGTGCCTGGGATTGACAGACTCCAGAAGGGTCCCTAGAGGCTGCCCTCATGCCGGGTCCCCTTACCTGGATGCCGTGAGGAATGTTATAAACTATGAGTATCGTCCCACAGTCCTCATGGCCTGGGAGTGACATCTGGAACCGTAACACCTCCATCTTCCCTCGGGGCTGGGTTCCCGTTTTCTCTCCATAGATGGTCTTGCAGGAAGGGCACTGCAAACTTCCATCCTGAGTTAAGGCAAACACAACAGATGGAGCTGGTGGCCCTGAGAGCACCTCGTCACCTCCAGGTCTAGAGGGAAAAAGCAGGCCAGCCTGCTGTCGCCCCTCCCCAAACTCAGGTTCAGCAGTTTTCTCAGAAAGCTAAGTTTTAGACCAGAACTTCGTTACACAATTTCCATTAAAGGGGTGAGATAACAGGAGATGGGCAGCAAGCAGGAAAATTAGGTCTATGAATAAAGGTCTCCAGTCGAATTATGTTTAAAATCAACAGAAACCCTGTGCTTGATCTGCTGGCGCTACAGGATGGCACAGGAATACTGGACAGAGAGTCTCAACCAGGCCGGGAAGGTGGTCACAGGACTTGGTTCTTTTATCCTCCCCCAACCTGTCCATTCCCGCTGAACTCCACGGAAGGCAGAGCAGCTACATGGGACTCTTCCCATGTTGGGTGACCCAGGTGCCGCTCAGCTCTGCCTGGAAGCCTGGCTCTTCACCTGCCAGTGGGGTGGCCTGGACACATTCCCCTTTCTGAGCCTTGTCCTCAACAGCACCATGTCGACTGCACAGGGTTGTTGTTACGGAAGAAGGGAGACCGTATGTGTGAAGTGCTTATCAGCAGCCAAGGTAAGATGGCACCCTGCTGCTCAGAGAAGCCCAGGATCTCCCAGAGCCTGGCTGGAGAAGTTGGGGGGACCCTCTTCCTAAAGCACGGAGCAGGCCTAGGAGAGTCAGCTGGGCCTCCAGAAAGGCCTCTAAGTCACCTCGACGCCCACGACCATCTTTTGTCCAAGCCGCGGTCCCACAGCCACCTCCACCCCCAGCTGCAGGCCAGTCACGGATACCTTGTTCCCGTTGCAGTACATGGCCAGCAGGCACAGCAGGTGGAAGGCGTGGCTGCACTTGGTGAGGCGGCCCACAGCCACGGGCCCGAGGGCCTTGCCGTCAGTCACGTCGCTGTACCCAGACGCCATGGCCAGCTTCTCCATACAGATGATGCAGTCCTGGAGGGAGACCAAACAGGGCAGCTCGCCAACAGTCGGCGGGGCTGAAACAGGGAGTCTCGCAGAAAAGGGCTTTCATCTGCTGAAACACCGGAATTATGCTCAAAGTCAATTCAGCAGTGTTTGTTCCAGAGGCTGGGAACACAGATGAGTCACCGGGCTCTGTGTCCTCAAAGGGCTTATGGGAGCACGGGCCCAAGATGGCAGCGGGAGCGGCCAAGCAGGGCAGGCTCCCGGGCCGAGGCCCTCGGAGCTGGGTCTCACAAGGGAGACAAGAGTTGTCACAATGACAAGCACAGAACAGGCAAGCCAGCAAGAGGGAAGAGAATGTTCTGCAACGTGCATCAGCACGTGGGCACCTAAAAGAGGCAAGGGGCTCGTGAGGGCAGGAGATGAGAGCCGGGAGAGGACCAGATGCCAAGCTCCGGGGCTGGGGCTTCACCGTGTGAGTCAGGGGATCCTGTTGAGGGGTTTCAAGCAGGGAATGGCCCCACAATCTGAGCTGTAGGTGGCTGTGTAGGCAGCAGCTTGGACAGAAGGAGCCATATGAGCACGAGGGCAAGGAAAGAGAGATCTGAGTGCTGGGGAGGAACACGGCGAGGGCATGAGGAAGCGGTGGGCACACGAGGGCTTCCATCCAAACCCTCTCTAACCAGATTCTTTGCATGTACTCAACTTGCAGGAGAAAGCAGCAAGTGAAAGGAGATCTCAGTTCAGTACTGGCATGCCTGACCTTTAACCTGCCCCTCCAATATCTCTGGACTCTATTCAAATTGGGGAAAAGTGTGCTGCAGCCCTCAAAACATGGCTCAGCCAGCCTGGGCAACTTGGCGAGACCTCGTCTCTACAATAAATCAAAGAATTAGCCAGGTGTGGTGGCGCATGCTTATGGTTCCAGCTACTTGGAAGGCTGAGGCACAAGGATCACCTGAGCCCAGCAGGTTGAGGCTGTGGTGGCTGAGAGCGTGCCACTGCACTCCAGTCTGGGCAACAGAGTGAGACTCCAAAAAAAAAAAAAACGTGGCTCAGCAGAAAGGCTCAGGTTCAATGGAAGCTACAACAAGAATGTGGCTGGTCCCGGCTCCTGTAATTCACTGACCAGCTCTCCCATAGCTACAGGGGCAGGATGGCCATCTGGATGAGGCCGTCTCACTTCTTATACCACCGTCAGCCCAGGGGAGTAGGGCAGACTTGCTCATCCCTTGTCTCCAGGACCCTGGCCCCAGGAAGCCTGCGGCCTGCCACAGAGACCAGGGCCAACAGAGGAAGAGCTTTGCTCAGGACTGCAGCTCCATCATAGTGAAGCTCAGACCAGAATGATGCGAGTCTCGGCAGCCATGGCCGCCTCCAATGGGAGACTAGGAGAGTCAACCAAAGTGCCTGGAGCATGGCCTCTGGGAAGTACCTTTAAGTGAGAACAGGCAGGTGCCGTTTCCATCTGGAGTAAGCCCTTGTTTCCAAACCAAAACAAAAGCAGCCTGGTTCCTGGGCCACGTACCTCATCAGGGGGGGTTTTCAGCTCTTCAGTGTAGTTTCTTATCACCTGCTCTGGCTCTGGCTTTGGAGTCCCTCCTAGAAGAGAGAAAAACATAAGCAGTGTCCCAAGGAGTAAAAACTGGAGAGGAGCCAGAGAGGAAAGAAGATAAGGAGATTCCAAGCTGCCAGGAGGAAACATTAGGGGGGCCAAGACGCGGAAGGTTAGCGTGCAGGACAGGAGAGCCTCAGCGCCAGGCACAGAACACTCCAGGGCTCTGCTGGGCAAAGCCCATCTAGGCCCAACTGCCTGGGGGCCCGGCCCTGCCCCAGGAGCCCTGGAAGATGCAGAAAAGGGGCAGAAACAGAGCAGCACGTCTCTCAGGAGCTGCATCCAGTGCATATTCCGTCAGGAAAGGGACCCAGGCTCTTCTGAGGATGCCCAGGAGCCAAACAGCAGCTTTGAGAACAAATTACTCTGGAAGATGTCCTGGCTGCATTGTTTCATTACTCTTGTATGAACAGTTCAGCGAGAAGGAAGTTTTTGTGTACCATGAGGCCACCCCACATGGGCATCTGCATGCGCGTCGACTACAGATGCCAGCTACACTGCCACTGCTATGGTAAACAGCCTGCCTCTGACTGTGAGGGCCTCAGTCACGTGCTGACTGGAGGCTAAGCTGAGCGACTCTGGGCATGGCCGAGATGCAGCAGGACTACCTACTGCCACACTTGTCTGTGCACGTGTGCGTGGAGCAGGGGGCAGCATCTCCATAAACACCCAACCCTGCATCCAACAGGTCCCCTCAAGAACCAGAAACTCCCCAACTAATCGGAGAATCAGCACAGTCCAGGGGCTTCTCCAGGTGGCTAGAGGAGCGGGATCACGGAAGTACAGCCAAGCCTACGTGGGAGGCCAGCGCAACCCTGAGGAAGTGCTCTGGCCAGGGCCAAGGCATGGTGGGACTACTGCTCCCAACCTGAGACAAGAAGGGGCTCTGGTTTGAACCCAAGCCCACGGTCACCAGGCAGGAGCTGCAAAGACGTAGAAGGCTAAAGGCTCACCTGCTGAATTCCCTCCAGACCAGAGAAGGCCAGGTTACAGCTTTGCGGGGAGGTGGCTTGGTGGAACAGAGGCTGAAATCAGGGCAGTTTGATTCTAGTCTCTTGCTGTAACCAAATCCTATCACCTCTGAGCCTTGGTTCCCTCATCTCCAAAGTGGAAGCCTAATACCTGATAAAGCTGCAATTGCAGTCACAGCATTGGCTGCTACTTCCCAAAAGGCAGCTACTCACAAAGGAAGACCACACACTCACCCACACACTCCCAACCTATACACCACCACACACACAGCCCTGCCCCTGCACCCATACGGACTTCCAGGACCCATATTCTGGCCTCTATGATGAGAAAGCCAGACCAGAACACTGACCACTGACTCAGGGTGGTCATGGTAGCTGGGACACTCTACTCAGGCTGGGGGGAGCCTTCTTTCCCAAAAGCCTGCTGGCTCTAGAACGGTCTCCAGATGTGCCCGGGACCCCCATCTGTCAGGACCTGCCAGCTCCTGCCAGCTCCTGAATCTGGTAGCCTAAGCCCTTCCTGGGCAAACCCAAGTGTCACAGGAGGTTGCTGGCCTGATCTACCCTGCCCATGGATCCGTCTTCTCCTCCAAGGCAGGGTGAAGAGTGGAATGTGCAGAACCCTGGGCTGCCCTCCCTGGGTCCACCCTCCTTGTCTGTGGGCTGAGGGTTGGACCAGAAGATGGACACGAGCAGAGCAGCCACTGTCACTATGTGCCAGCCGCCTTGTATATCTACTTTCTATTCCTCACCAAGCAGTCTGCTAAGTAGGAGTCTCTGGCTCATGAATGAAGAAAATCTGCATAAAATCGCAAAGCCAGCAAGGCCGGCAGAGCCACGGTACGCGCCTGCACACTGCCACACCAGCTCAAAGGGCATCTGGGCTCGCAGCAGCCGCCCTTCGATGGCCCAGTGACGAGGGCAGAGTCACTACCGGCTCGAGAAAGGGTCAGAGCTGACGACTTCAGGCCTCTGCACACAAGCCCTGTTCAAGCTCCCAGCCCCATCCGTGACTCTGAAACCCTTCCTTCCCTGGCCATGCAGCAACAGGCAGGGCCGCGGTCATCAGGGAGAGCCCTCTCCACGGAGCACGGGGTAGGCCAGACGCTGCCATCTGGGGGGGTCTTGCCTGAGACACACCTGGCCCCAGCGGAAGGGACAGTCGTCCCCCATTCCAAACTAGGCACCGCCTTTCACCCCTTCCCGGGTGATCGCAAGGACATAAGGTGTCAAGAACAAGCCCTCCCTTCCCGGCTGTGCCAGGAAGAGAGCCGCTGAACTCTAGGTCTTGAGCGCGAAGTCGGTCCCAGGAGCCACCTCTGCTGCTGGGCAAGGGCCACGGAGCCTATCCCCTAGGGACAGGAAGTAGAGAAGGAAGCGCGATCCGCGCAGGAGAGTCAGAGGCAGCAAGACTCAAGGAGGCTTAGCAAAGGCCAGAGCGCGTTTGTGAGCAGGAACTACCTTTCATGGACATTTTCCTCAATCTCTTAACTGAGCTGTGACTTTTAGAGGCCAGACAGGAGGCGGGAGGGCTGGCGGGCTGGGGTGCGCAGCTAAGACACGCGGGGAGTCCAATGGCTGACATCAGAACACTCGTCATGCCTGCACGGGTGCGAGATCAGACATGCAGAGAGGAGGAGAAACATTAGGAGGACGGCCGGCACATGGAGTCCACAAATCCTGCGGAGGCCAAGGAGGCGGCACCGCCAGTGGCCGCTGGACCCACAGGCCTCCCCGATGAATCTGGCCTCTGGAGGCTGCCAGGGCCTATCCAGGCTGCAGAATTGATCTTCAGGCCAGAAACCAGAGGGCCAGTAAACCGGCCTGGCTCACAGAAGCCCCAGCCCCAGGTCCCACAGGTGTCCGTACAAGCAATGGACCAGCCCGTGCCCAGAGCAAGCAAGTATGCCAAAGCCATTTGCTTCAGGAGAGCGGGACAAAACTCCAAGAAGCTGCCTAAGCAGTTCAGGGAGGCACCCCTTGTGCCAGACACAGGGAGAAGCCGAGCAGTAGTGACGACATGGAAGGGTGCAGCCAAGCTCTGGAAACACAGATGGGGTCTCCCAGGCAGGCTGGCATCAAAGGCTCAGACATCCCCCTGGAGCCTCTTGGCCCAGCTGTGTCCTCCTGGCCCCTGGTCACTCTGCCTCCAGCCTGGCACTGTCTGCTTTCCATGAAACATCTGGTTTGTCTAGGTGTCACAGCCTGCAGGGGCATCACTGTGGGAGGCAAGCAGAACACTGCCGGTCAGGGCTGCTCCCACGCTGTGGCGTCCCAATGGCCCACGTCGGCTCCGCTGGAGCAGCAAAGCCGCAGAGGTGGCTTCCTTCCTGGTGCCCTCAGGCAAGGGTGGGCTGTAGCAGGCAGCCATGCCAAGGTAGATGGCCCCTCTTCCCAGAGCTCACTGCTGCCCCATGCTAGCTCCTCAGCCTGGGGTTCCACGCTCGTCCTGGCTGAGCCCTCTCCCCACACTGCCCCCTGTGCACTCCCTGGGACACAGTGTGTCCTCCTGCTGGACCTCCCTGTGCCTGCCATACCCTCGGCCGACCCTACTGTCCACAGTTCCACCTCCCCAGGTGGTCAACACTCAGTCTGGCTCAAAGTACTTCCCCCCAGGGCAAGGAGCTTTGGGGTTCTTAGCCACCCCCGCAGGGTGACATTCTGGGTCCTTAGAAGCTGGCTCAGGAGCAGGACACAGCAGGACCCCTGGGGCAGTTAGTGGAGAAGAACTCAGCCCTCCCTTCCTGGCTGTGCGAGGCCCTGTTCTCCCTCCAGACAGTGCTGTCCCCACCAGAAGCGACTCAGTGGGTGAGGGGCAGCCAGGTCAGCCACTGGACCCCCACGAGGCAGAATAAAGGCTCTCAACCTGGCAGATGAGCCAGCTGAGGACAGACGCAGAGAACAGCCACCAGCTTGTCATCGGTCCAGTCAGGCAGGGTGAGTTGCCGTGGCCACTCAGCAGGAGACACCAAAGCACACATCAGAAGGCTGAGGTTCGAGTCTGGGCTCCGCATCAGTGAACACATGCTACCCACATCCCAAAGTCACTCCTGACCCCAGTGCAGTTTCCTTGGGAACTGAAAATCAGGGGACAGGACCAGCAGGCACCGGCGACAGAGATGGGGGAGAAGAGGAGCAGGCGCAGTCTTCCTCAAGAGAACCTGGGGCCTCCGAACTCACCACCCGTCCGTCCTCTGACTAGAACGTGTCCCTGCCACCCCCCCCAATGTCTCCTCCAGCATCGCCGTGGGGGACAGGCGTCCCCGAACAGCCCCCAGCCAGGGCCACATCCCTCCGATCCTCTAGCCCGCTGGCCGGCCTGGCTTTCCTCCTCAGCACTCCTGCCATCTGAGTTCACTGATCTGTCTATGCCAACCGTTTCTCCCTCCGCATGCCTTCCATGAGGTGAAGACTCGGCCCACAGTTGTGCTCCCTGCACTCAGGGCAGTGTCTGGTCCCCAGGAGGCCCAAGGACTGAGGCTGCTGAGGAACAAAGACATCCCTGAGGCCACAAGCAGCAGGCCCAGCATGAGCAATACTTCCGCCCTTTTCAATGCTGAACCCTTCCCCTGAACTCAAGCCAGACACATGACTCTCAATCCAAAAGCCTAGAGAGGAGGCAGCCCCTGTGCCATGGGTCCGTCTCTGCATGAACAGACTAAACCCCACACTTCTCAAAAGCAGCATGCAATGGGCAGGATGGCTGGGTCACCAAGGGTGGGCCACCACATCCTCCTCAACAGCAAGGGCTCAAGGACAGGCCTCCCAAACTTCTGAGCAGCTCAGACAGCCACAGCTTTTTTCTCCACTCATCTGAGAGAACCCCACCGTCAGAGCCCCAGAAAGCGAAGCCCCTTCACAAACTCTCGTTTCCCAACTTGCAACACCCCCTTTCCGACACCCAGGGTCAGCCTTTCATCCAGTGAACGGGTTGAGATCCAAGCCTGTCCTCCTTCCACTCTGGCCTCCCTAGCCCATGTTCAAGACCAGCGCCACCCCTCACTGGCTGGCCAGCCTTGGGCAGGCTGCTAATCCCCACTCCCATTCCAAGCAGTGACATGACATGTGGATGGACCATTACTGCAGCCAGGTGGGGAAGGATCCTGGCCCCAATCTCAGAAGCCCGACCCCCACCCACACAGAGGAGAGGGCTGGGCTATGCCGTAGCCAGGGGAGCTGTCACATGGAGGCATCGTCACCTACACCTCTGGAGGTACAGCTCCTCCATGGACTTCTTCTAGCCTCCTCCAGCCAACACAGGCACAGGGGAAGAGAAGTCAGGGTAAGCCCCAGTCTTTCCACAACATGACCACCTGGTTGCAAACCTTCCCGCAAAACCCTGAACCCAAATGTTCACCTCCCTGCAGCCAGGCGTGGTTTAATTCCTGAATCCATAAGCATGCCCAGGATGACAGGGCACTCTCCAGCCCTAGCTTCCTGGGGGCTAGCTGGGCTCCTCTCGTCCCCAGGTGCCCTAGACAACAGTCCCCCCAACAGGTGCCAACCACTGAGCCCGAACTTAGGGGAGGGGCAGTCCGTCCACGGGCTCTAGTCTCTCCTATTTTCTAGCAGGGATCAAGTTCCTGAACTCTCGAGGTCCATTTCCCCTTATGAGTAAAATGGAGGTTAAAGATACCTGGCTAGATCTAGGATTGCTCTGAGAGACAAGGTGACAGAGGACATGAATGGCAATTTGGGAAGCAGCCTGGAGAGGACCCTCGGCCTCAAGAGCAGAGGAAAGGGAGCAGGTGCTACTCCACACCCAGGCGCTCGGATCTGTTTCCTTTAGAGGTCATGAAAACATTTATATGTCGGCCTCAGAGGTCGCCCATCATCAGGTTCGGCCACAGAGCCCAGGTGGAAGGAGCTGGGCTGTGGCAGCCCGACCTGTTTACCCGCAACCTCTTCCCAGCAGCACCACGGCCACACACGCACAAAAACACAGGGTACAGCTGACTTCCCTATGTGCCAGACACCATGAGGCGATCTCAGCTGGGTAGGAGCTTGCGAGTCAGCATATCTGTGCTCACCCTGTTCTCCCGGCCCCAGCAGAAGGCCAACGGCTCAGGAGCCAAAGCAGGTTGGAGACAGCCGGCCTGGCAGGGTCTCCCGGTCCGGAGCTTCCCTGCCCCCCTCAGCCCTTCGCCTCCTCACTCCCGCCTTTCTGGCTGTTCCTCCCTGGGCTCCTCTTTCCAGCCGCCTGCCTGCAGTCTCTGCAGGCTCACACACCTCCGTGGGGGCCAAGGGCACCCCATTCCACCCCAGACTGCTCTTCTGAAACGCACATGCAAACTCCGCTGGCCCTGGGGCAGCTCCACCTCTTCCACCGCAGCCACCCTGCCTCCAATGCTCCTGCCAGACTCAGGAGCATCAAAGCATGGCAGGGAGGAGTGGGATTCTGAGGCTGGAACTCCTGGGCCTGTGTCCCAGCTCTGCCCAGGGCTGGCAGAGAATTGTCTAATTCTCCATAGCTCAGTTTCCTCAAACGTAAAATGGGATTAACAGTTCCTGCCTTGCCAAGTTTATGAATGAAACAAATCAACACACAAAAAGGCCCAGTTCATTCCTCAATACCGATCATGAGGACGGCTGGGGCGCTGCAGGCCTCAATCTGTCCCTCTCCGTTTTCCACACTGACCCAACCACTATGTCAGAAGGCGCCTACCTTGGAATGCGCAAAGCTTAACACTCCCCTCCCTCCCACTGCTACAAGCCTAGCTGGGCCTTGGGTGGTTCCCCTGAGGCATGAGGTTAGACTCCACATGGGTCTCCCTGCCTCTGGGCCTGTCCACTGCAAGCCACCCTGTACTATGACAGTGACTCACCTAAAACATCAGCTCTGGTTATCTGATTCCCTGACATCAACCCATGAATGATGGCAGCTCACTACCCTGCTCTGTCTGCCTCTGTATATGTTTTACATTTCCCAGAAGTTAAAAAATAACCTCAGTGGCTCCCCAACACCTGTAGAAGGACTTCTAAAAATAGTTCCAGGATGTATGATAGCAAAAGATCTAGTTGGACCCAAAAGGTGATTATTCAAAACAAGATATAACTACAGCTAAAACAGTTCTATGAATTCCCCAGAGAGCCCCTTGCTTAAAGCATTTCAGGACTGACAAGTGACTCTAACTATAATGCAATTTAATACAAAAATGAAAAGGGAAGTTAAAAGTTCATACCTGGCACCCGATGTTGTCAGAACTCACTTCCCCCAAAGAGCCCAGGGAGGGGGCACCTAGGCTCAGTTGTGTGAGTACGCCACCACTCAAAGAGGCACTGCTCCCCCAAAGAGCCCCTTCCAGTATCCCTAAGGACCAGGGGTGATGAGGCCCCTGTCCCCCAATTTCCTTCCCACCTAGTTCTGTGGGGCACCGTGTTCTGATCCCAAGTGCAGGGCACCTACCTGCGAGCGCTTGCTGGACCCTGCTGGGCTTTGGCATCTGCACGGGCACAGTGACGGGCATGCTCCCAGGACTGCTCGAGGGACCACTGGGGAATGAGGCACTTGGAAAGAAGAGAGAGCAAAGCTTAGTGTGCAGTACTGACGCAGTGGAAACAAAAGCGAGAGAAATACTCTGTGTTAAGAATAAATGGGTGAAGCCGGGCTCGGTGGCTCAGCCTGTAATCCCACGCCTTTGGGAGGCTGAGGTGAGTGGATTGCCTGAGCCCGCGGGTTCGAGAACCACCTGGGCAACTTTTGTAGAGATCTCGTCTCTACAATAAATCAAAAATTAGCCGGGCATGGTAGCACGTGCCTATAGTTTCAGCTACTTGGAAGGCTGAGGCAGAGGATCACAGGAGCCCACCAGGTCGAGGCTGTGGTGGCCGGGAGCGTGCCACTGTCCTCCAGCCTGGGTGACAGGGTGAGACTCCAAAAATAATAATAACAACAATAATAATAATATAAAATAAAGGGTTTTTTTAAATGAAGGCTTTACTTTCCCACAATGACTACGTTCAAGTTGTTCAATATTTCATATTTTCTTTTTTAGAGTCAGGGTCTTGCTCTGTCACCCAGGCTGGAGTGCAGTGGCCCAATCACAGCTCATTGTAGCCTCAACTTCCTGTGTTCAAGCGATCCTCCCACCTCAGCCTCCTGAGTAGCTAGGACTACATGCAATGCCACTATGTCTGGCTAAGTTTTCACTTTCTGTAGAGATGGGGTCTTGCTATGTTGCCTAAGCTGACCTCAAACTCCTGGCCTCAAGTCATCCTCCCACCTAAGTCTCCCAGAGCACTGGGATTATAGGAGTGAGCAACCACGCCTGGTCTAAGTCATCATATTTTTCCTAATGATAACAAATGTACGCCAAAATGGTTTGGGAGGGAGTGCAGATGGCTGCGATCTTGCCCGCTCCTCCCATCCATCCCCACCCATTTTAGATGATGAAATATAAAGATTATGAAAATCCTCCCACACAGGCCTATGCCAGAGCTTCCCAGGACAGGGCACTGGCCAGACCAGGAGCTGGGAAGGTGCTCAGGAGATGAGGGATGGCTGCAAGCTACCCTGTTACCCTCACAGCTGCCGCAAACCAGCTACTGCCTGCTCACAGTTGATGCCTCAGGAGGTTGCCACAGATCCTTCCCTATCACCAGCCACAGGTCACCGATCACGATGGTGTAAACAAGGTTAGCCGGGCTCGGTGGCTCAGCCTGTAATCCCGCGCCTTTGGGAGGCTGAAGTGAGTGGATTGCCTGAGCCCGCGGGTTCGAGATCCGCCTGGGCAGCGAGACCTCATCTCTACAATAAATCAAAAAATCAGCCGGGCGTGGTAGCGCACGCCTGTCATTCCGGCTACTCGGAAGGCTGAGGCGGAAGGATCGCCGGAGCCCAGCAGGGGAGGCTGCGGTGATCGGGAGCGGCCACTGCACTCCAGTCTGGGTGACAGAGTGAGACTCCAACTCAAAAACAAAAAAAAACCACACAGAATCTGGAGCAGAATGGGCACTACAGTATTTGCCTGTGTGAAAAATGACATTCTATTTGAGTTTCTTGGGTGTCCTTCCCACACAGAGACACCTGCGTGGCCATGACACTCAAGCAGCAGATTCTGGCTCTCCTCATCTACTCCCAACCCAAAGAGAAGGATGGCAGTGAACCCAGGAGCCCTGATAATGCCAACAAGGGCTAGGAGCTCCAGCCACTGAAGCTCCAGCCACTCTGTTTCACTTGGAGCAAGCCTCTCCCTTCCTGAAACGTTTAATGTCCTCTGTTTTTTGTTTTCTTTTCTTCTTCTTTTTTTTGAGTTGGAGTCTCATTCTTGTCTCCCAGGCTGGAGTGCAGTGGCATGCTCATGGCCACTGCAGCCTCGACCTGCTGGGCTTAGGCGAGCCTTCTACCTCAGCTTCCCAAGTAGCTGGAACTACAGATGCATACCACCACGTCCAGCTAGTTTTTGTGATTTACTGTAGAGACAAGGTCTCATCAAGTTGCCCAGGTTGATCTCTAACCCTCAGGCTCAGGCAAGCCTCTCACTTCGGCCTCCCAAAGTGCTGGGATTACAGGATGAGTCACTGCACCCGGCCCTTATTATTATTATTATTTTAAAGGAAGATGGATCATCACTATTTGGGCTCTGCAACTCTTAGGTTCTCTAAGTGAAGGCCTTCAGGACTTTCCAGGGACCACTGAGCTTAAGCTCTTAGCTAGGAGGCCAGAAAAATCAAAGCTGGGCACTACAAGTCCATAAAATGAGTGGGCTATGCAGTGGGCTAGGCATCATTGGCCCAGAGAAGGTCACTGCTGGTCCTACCTACTTGGTCCCACCTGGCTTTCCTGTCTGGGACTATCTCCAGGAACTTCCAAACAGAGCTGAGAACATGAGACATAAAGACTCTGCGACGTCTACACGGTGCCAGGTGCAAAGCCAGGAGGCTGGAAAGTAAGGAAACCCGAAGCCTCTCTCCAGCTCCCCGCCTCTGGCACTGGGGCTGGCAGCCAGACCTGGCACGGGACTCTGAGGAGCACCAGAGGCAAAGGCTGGAGACACTGCTTCTCAGGCCTGCTCCCACTCATCGCTGTGTGCCCTGGGCATGATGTCAAGTCCTCTTCCTGGGCCTCAACTTCCCTGATTCCCAAAGGCTCCTAGGGTGATGGTGAGGCTCAATCTGAAATCCGATACAAATGTCCCTTGGGACCTGGGTGTCAGGGGAGCACCTTCTTGCAGCGCCCTCACTGCATACTGAAAACCATGGCGACATCAGAGCAAAAAGCAACTTCAGAAACTAACCAGCCCAACTCCCTTATCTTGAGAGAGGAAAAGAGAAAACACGGAAAAGGAACAGAGTTGACCAAAGAAGGCCCAGCCTGGAGCCCATCCAATCTCACAAGCCAAAGGACAGCCAGCAGCCAGCCCAGCCGACAGCAGGAAGAGGAAGCGGGTCCTTTTAGAGGCAAGAACAGCGGCAGCAAGAACGCAGCTGGAACAAGCCACCAGAACCATCTGGTAGGACCAAAGCACCCACAGGTTCAACCACTCCTGGAGCTGCTAGGCTGCGGTCACAATCACCTCCCCAAGCCATCAAAAGGCTAAGCTAGGTGCCACGCCCTCCATTAAGGAAGGCAAGAGCCTGCAGGACACGGAAGAAAGTTTTCCATCCAACATCACTAAAACACATGTTTTGGTGCTTAAAGGAATAAACTTCAGCTACCAGGAAATCTGCTTACACCCAGCAGCTCAGTCACAGATGACACACTTTCTTGATGTATTACTGCCTTTTCCCAGGGGGCATGAGGAAATCACTCAGCCAACGTTTTACCCTGATTGAGCAAGAAGTGATTTAAAATCACATGCTTTGTAAAAGCAAAAACAAACACACATGGGTCCCACACAATTTTTTGATTTCACTTGCTCAGATGTTATTTGCAGTGGCTTTGGTAAAGAGTCGGTTCCAGGGCTTGGGCAGCCCAGGCAGGTCAGGCCCAGCCGTCTCCCTCACACGTGGTAACTTTCACCTAAAGCTGTTGACATTCATTTGGCTTGGAGAACTTTACCACAGCCCCTAGGGAAAACAAGGGTGTGTGTTTTCAATTCTCCCAGCCCTCCTGGGTTAAGAGGTCAGGTATTTATGAAGCCCCCTCTGGCACTACAACCATCAGAGGAGATTAACTGAGAAGGGCCACCCTACAAATTAGACTTGAGAAAACCCAATTTTTTAAAGTACGGTTAGGCCCATGCAAGTGAATTATGCCCCTCCCAGCTCCAGAGAAGCTGGAGGAATAGGAGTATACACCGACCCAGGAGGCAGGCCCCTTTATTTTGAAGCTATTTCAACGAACAGAGCTGGCTGGCCCGGCTCCCTCCTGGCTCCTAACACAGGGCAAGCAGCAGCATGCGCAGCCTAGCACCAGGGAAGACCAGCCCCGTCGCCTTCCTTTCTGCAGTTCACCTGGTCTGCACCAGGAGGGCTCACATCAGCACTCTGAGGCTCTCGGGCAGGGGAGGGCACAGAGGAAGACTCGGGGGAGGGGTAGCTTGGAGGAGACCACCCGGAGCCCCATGAAGTCATCTGACTCAACCCCAGAGTCCCCGCTTGAGCACTACTTGGAGATCTGCCTCAAAATAATTCCTACGGACTTAAGACGTTCCCGCAGACTAGGTGAAGCAGACTTCACAGAAGTCCCAGCACTGCCAAATAATCACTCTGGGCTGGCAGAGAGGACACTGTTCTCTGAAAGAGAGGGGCCGCACACTGAGGGTGGGAGGGAGGGGGAGCGCCTCTTGAGCCTGACTGCTTGTACCCACGTGAAAGTCCACAGAGGGCCCAGCGCACCTCCCTGTACTCCCAGCTCCCGGAAAGAGGCAGAAGCACGGGACCCAGCTTCCAGGAGGAGGGCCCTGGCCCGACCCTGGCCCGACCCAGGCTCCTGTCTGCGGCCTCCTCCTCCTCGCTCATCCCTCAAAGCCCCGTCTGCCCTCATCAAAGTGCCTCCTGTCCTTAAGAGAGCGTCCCGGACCTCCCCCGTGTGTCCTGCAGGGCTCACTCTGGGGGCCGAAGTTTAATTCCAGCTCTGCCACTTGCTGGCTGCGTCACCAGCCTCATGGCCCGGATGAGCTTGCCTGTAAGCTGAGGGCACTACCTACTGCAAGGCCACCATGAGGACTGGCGAAATCACTCACACAGCCAGCTCAACAGGGCCTGGCATACAACGTGTGCTCAATGCATGGGAATTGCTGTCACTGTGTCTCACACAAGCTGGCAGGGTCCCCTGAAACTCGGTTTCAAAAACTGCTAGAGGTCCAAGAAGCTGCCAAGGAGGCCTGGGGCACCTTAGGAAGCTGCAGCCCTCACCACGGTGCAGTGGGCAGGGCCGGGGCCGGCGAGTGAGGCAGCACATCGCTAAGAGGGGCTGCTCCTCCCGGGCACTGGGGCAACCTCGCTCTGTCACCACCCCAAAGCTCTCTCAGAAAGCAGCCCCATCACGGCTACCACAGTGAATTCCCAAAACGCTCTCAAAGTCCAGCACTCTCAGTAATGAAACGAGGCAGCCCCTAGTCACCCAGACCCCACAGGTTCTCAGCCGACACAGGCACATACACCCACTGACCAAATCCTGAGGGTGTTCCCGCTTTACACACCACCTGGTCCAGACTGGGCCTGCGATTTCACCATCCCTCCCAAGGAGTCAAGAGTTCTACTGGACGCTCAGCTGGACTGCACCAGCATGGCGGTTAGGTCGCCAAGGCCACCTAGTTGCATGCTCCATTCTGCTCTCTCCTCACTGTGCTCACCGGCCCTCCTCTGGCCTAGTCTGTGGGCTTGGGGGCAAGAACTGTGGCTCACATCTCTGCTCTTTGGCACCTGGCAGATGGCAGAGGTCAATGAATATGCAGTTGCCCGACAGGCCCTGAGGCACAGCCCAGCCACGTGGCACTGGAACACGGCAAAAGGCCTGCAACTCTGTTCCACATGGAGGGCCCTAGAATCATGAGCTAACAAAAGGATTACTGGTTCAAACCCAAGTGGTGACTACCAGCCCTCAAGTACCAGAGGTCAGGTAGGCTTCAGGGGGGCAAAGCTATGGACGGTCATGGCACCTAGGCACTCGCATGGCACATGAAACTGAGACAACATAGCAGGGACAACCAAGGGGGCAGGTGTCAAGTCTGCAGATACTTGGACTGAGTCTTCTCGGCTAAGTAACAGCAGAAAGCCCAGCCTGTAGGTAGGGCACTCAGGGCAGACAAAATGACCAGCAGTCGCACACGATACCTGGCTGCACCGGAAGCGGACAATCCTGGCGGCAGGTGCTGTGGTCCCAGGTGGGAGAGGCTGGAACGGTAGAGTGGCTGGCTCCCCAAAGCGGGCGGGACCCCGCCCCAGGGGCTGGTGGTATTCAGTCGGGGTGCAGACCTAGCCCCAGAGAGTGAGGGTTTGTTATACGGGGCAAAGGCCTGATGGGCCCCAAAGACAGCAGCGGTCCTGTGTGGGGGCTGGGGGAGGGGGTATGCAGGGAGGTTAGTCATGGAGTGGCGGTAGCGGCCTGACACAGGGCCAGTTCCACTGCCGCTGAGGCACTGGTGGCAAGAGCAGGCGACTCCTGTGTGGCCCGGTGCAGCGATGACGGTGGTCACTGGGTAAGGGGGCCCTGCTTGGCGCCGCACGCTGCGGCAGAAGCTGGAAGTCTTATTGGTTTGTGTGCGGGTGGCGTAGTTGACTGTGTAGTTGTAGCCCAGGGGAGACAGGTCCACGGGCTGGCTGCCCCGGGCCATCTGCTGCTCCAGGTAGTCACAGACGCCGGCTTCATAGGCGGTCCACGAGCCGTCGTCACTTAGCCACTCCCAGACTATGCCTCGGCCTGGGGCTGAGAGCTGGGGGAACAGGTGCCTCCGGACAGCCCGCACGGTGCCTGTTTGAAAAGCAGCGTTACACACAAAGGGCTACTCTGCCAGCCCAAAGTCACAGGGAATTCTCACACTTTTCTCACCAACCACAACAAACACAGGATCACAAGAGGCATACAGTTATGCTGCTCCTTGATCCAAGGGCTAGCTGGCACCGGCTTTCCTGTCCAGACTTGAGGGTAAAGTGCAGAGACTCCCTAGGCAAAGAAAAGGTGGCCCCAAAGAATCTGCATTCCTTGGCAGAACAGGACACTGAAAGCTTAGGTCAAGTATGGCTCACACTTGATGAGGCTTTGAAAGAATATTTCTAGCCGGGCTCGGGGGCTCAGCCTGTAATCCCCCGCCTTTGGGAGGCTGAGGTGAGTGGACTGCCTGAGCCCGCAGGTTTGAGACCCGCCTGGGCAACTTGGTGAGACCTCAT